GTAGAGACCGACAAACTTAAATAAAAAAATAAAAAAAATAAAAAAAAATTTAAAGAAAAACGGTGGTGTTGTTTTGTACTTGTGAGTGGTGCAATTCTATAGATAGTTTTATTTATTTTTTGCACATTTTTCTTACCTTACACGAAGATCTAATTCCCAGATCTACTAATTTCTTTGTCTCCCTGTACACAATAACCCACATTTTAAACGTGTTCACGAAGTTGATTTTTTTTTTCTTTGTTTTGTTGGTATGAATTGGCTACCTTAGATAAAGGTGAGATAACTAGATATAATTATATTTTTTCGTTCATTTTCAAATCATATTTTCAAATTGGAAATTAATATTTATATTTGTGTAGATCATATCAGAAATTTTGTATGATTTTCTACCACTGGGAAGATTTGATTTACTGGTAGTGAGTATTTAGCTTTTTCGACTTGGTTCACTGAATTCACATGGTGGTAATACTTTCTTCCTATTTTCATGTGCATATGATGTTTTCGGTTCTTTAACTTTGTTATTGTTTATATATTCTTTCCATCAAGGTTCGAGATAGTTGGGTTCTTGTTTGTTGGCAATACAAGAAATACTATGAGTTTTCCAATTTATTTTCTTTCCCCTTTTTTCCATTTTTATATGAATTGTGCAATGTTTAAGTTCTTCTATTTTTTTTTTTTTTTTTAATTTGTAACGTATTTTTCCATATATTTTTTTTGTTTTTTTACTCTAAATTGCATCATATGTTGTTATACAAGTGTGGTGTTTATTTAGCTTTCTGTTTATTTTTAGGGTTAATTGAAGATTTGTATTCAATCATATATTTTTTTTCCTTTATTATTTTTTTTTTAATACTACACTATATATCACATGATTTGTATCGGGATTTTGACGAGAAACAAAATTATTTTAACTATCTCAATTAATCTATTATTTGATTAGTGAAATTTATGATGTTCATAATTCTTTTAGCTTATAATTAGTTGCAATATTTTTTTAGATTTAAATTTTATAATATTGTAGTCTATTAGACTTTCAAATGAATTAAGTTTGGAAACAATTCATAAGTAAGAGTTCAAGAATCATACATTTCAAAATCAAGAAAACAAGTTTCAAACTTCAAAATCAGATTTTTATTAAATTTTATTTATAATTTAATTAATTAATTATTAATTAAATATATTTAGGTCACAGATCTATTCAATTTAATCACAAATTAACGATTTACTTATTCACTTATTAATTTTTGGTTACAAATCATAAATTTTATGTCACAAATTATTTTACGGTTGTAATTCAAAAATTTTATAGATCACAGTTTGTTCATCGGTCACAAATCAAAATATTTATAAGTCACGATTTATTTATTGGTTACAAATCACAAATATTATAAGTCACAATTTATTATATAGTCACAAATTATCAAATTATTGGTCACAGATTAACAAATTTTTAAGTCATACATTATTTTTTGTCACAATTTACCTTTTTAATTGGTCACATATTCTTTATTGGTCACAAATTAACCAATTTAATAGTCACAGTCAACTAAATTATTTGTGATCACAACCAACACTTGTGACCACCACCTTAATTTCTCTTCCTCTGTTAATTGAAGATGTGTTAAAGATGGAGATCGAGCCAGGCTGCAGGCTCTCCAATTTTTTTTTTTTTTATCAATTTCATTTCATTTCATTTCACATTATTTCTAGATTGATATATACATGTATACAATCGATAATGGTTTCTACAAATTTTGACAATTTTAGCTGCTTTAACCACTGGATTTTCCCTTGAGATGGCCTCTCTTCCAGCGGCTTTGTAGTCGTAGCTGCAATCGTGCCGATAGGAATAACGATGATTGGCATAAAAGAGCTCGCAACATCTACATCTAAACTTGGTCAAACCAACCTTCCTCCGACAATCAGAGCACCGATTTACCTCTCTCTTCACCTGCACAACCTCTGTCGAATCCAAATCCTCTTTCTTCAAACTCTTACTGATCTCCACAGGTTTCAATTTCATCTCAGGCGAAGACCTCAAGGACGAGTTGGATCTAAATGATTTTTTAGATCCTACAACCATCGTGACCACAGTGGACGCGGACCCAACTGCAGTGGCACTAAAATAATTTTTATGCAAATCATTGGTCGGAGCAACACCGCATTTAACACATAGCATGATGGCCTTCGGTATGACCTTGAATTTCGTCTCATCTTTCTCTTTTTTTTGTGCCATAGTTGAAAAAGCAATTCACAAAAAATTTAGACTTAAAGGTTATAACAAAATATTTTTAATCTTGTGAAATACTTTTAAATTTTCTTCTATAAATTTTAAATTGATAATTACGTATCCTGTTGTTTCACCTGAAGTAGAACAATATTATAATTAATATTTTAGATAACAATTTCTATTCTGAAGTTTACATATACTCATCTATTTTGTTATAATAGAAATTGAGAAGGATTTTTTTATTGACAAAATCAATTTTGATTATTTCTGTCTCAATTTGTATTTTATAATGTCATTAGAAAAACACGATTTGGAGATCCATCGAAGAAGATCCTTCTCCTTCCTTTATTTTTGAAAGAAAATGAGGATCTAAACAAAATCAATGAAATGGAAGAAATTCCAGTGAATGGAAAGGAAAAAACATAGGATGAATTCCACTTTTCGATTAACAGATATGGGCTCTAAAAATAGCTCAGTTTATGAAGAAAGGAAGGGATAGTGTGTATTTTTCGTTGGGGATTTTCTGAAAAAATCGTTCCATATTTCTCCAATTCCTTATAAAAGATATTCAGTCCATTAGAATAGAAGTTAAAGATGAAATTTATGCTCATCGTGTCCTTTTAACCATACGACTTTGATATACTCTATTCCGCCATTGTTGTGGTATTAATCTAGACCTTTTGATCTGAGATAAATCTTGTTGATAATGCCCTCTTAACCAGTTTTTCCATCGATTCATTTCAAAACTCGAAAGTTTGTTATCCTTTAATTGAGAATGAGTTATTACTTGTGTCTCAAAAGAATCATTTACGTTAAAGGGGAATAAATAAATCAATCAAATTTCGGCAAGCTTCATGAAGTACTTCTTTCGGAGTTAAACTCCCATATGTCCATATTTTGAGAAAAGAGTATTTCTTGTTTTTCATTCCCATTCCGTCAAACAAGATGCGTAATATTTATAACGCTCTGGTAGTTAAAGGTCGAGATACTATCGGTCAAGCAATTAATGTGACTTGTGAGGTACAGTAATTAATAAGAAATAATCGAGTTAGAGCTATAGCTACGAGTGTATTCATGGGTTACTTCTCTGCTGTAGCGCCTGGCCCTCGAACACTAGCTCAAGGCATTTTCTCTACCCCTCTTACCTGAAAAAATAGGGACACCTTATGTTCTGAAACCGATAACCAACTTTTGGCTAACCTAGATATTTGAGTAACAATTTCTATTCTGAGATTTACATATTCTCATATATTTAGTTATAATAGAAATTGAGAAGGATTTTTTAATGAAAAAATCAATACTGATTAATTCTATCTCAATTTGTATTTTATAATATCATTAGGAAAACACTTGCTCAAGCCGGATGATAAAAAATTATCTTGTCCAGTTCTTTTTGGGGATGGATCTATAAGAATTCACCTATCCCAATAACAAAAAATAAAATTAAAATAAAAAAAAATCTGATTTGAATGATCCTGTATTAAGAGCTAAAGTGGCTAATTTTTTTCAATAAAAAATCCTTCTCAATTTCTATTTTAACAAAATAGATGAATATATGTAAACCCCAGAATAGGAATTGTTACACAGATTTCTATTATTTAGATATGTTGTCGATAGGGAATTATCATATAATTATCATACTTCCATTTTGCATTGAATAGAAATTTCGTTTTTCGAGGAAAATTTTGATTTAACTATTGAAAAGAGGACCACGGGTACCTCCTCGAATTTCAAAAAGGAAGAGTAAACCTCATTGATTTTTAACACCTGAACCATAAGTGAATATATAACCTACAAAAAAGTAGGCTAGTCCAACCAATCTTTCTTGGACAATGGAAAGAGCCACGGTTTATCTTTTCATCGGATCAAATTGGCCAAAAGTGTGTGTTCATGAGCCGATGCTAAAGTTTTCAATCAATTCCTGCCAATATCCATGCTAGGAAATTAAGAACATAAATCCAGTAGCCCAAACAAGATGTCCAAATAAGAACATGCATGCCCAGACCGACAAACTATTCATCTAAAAGTATATAATGTTTGGATCTAAATGGGTTTCGCGGAGGTGAAGGAACTAGATTGAAAAAATAGAAGGATTCTAGTTTCACCAAAAATACCTTAACTATATGCTCTATGTACATATGTGATACTATTACCCCAACGTTCACATTGCGCTTTGCTATTCTGTGAATTTAGTTAACAACCACATATTTCGAGAAGATTTATTAATGTTGTGCTTATTTTACTATTATTTTAGTAATTTTGGTTAACTTATTCCTACGTTTATATACTTTGCTATTATGTGACCTAAGTTAATAAATATACATTTGAGAGACTCACTTAAATATTTATTACTGTTGTTATTAGTTTAGCAAGTACGTTCTTTGTAGTTTTTTATTCCATGAATTGAGTTTATAAGTCATGAATGACTTAAAGATTTATTAATATAATAAGCAACTGACAATTCCAAACACTCACTAGCCTATATTTCCACTTGAACTTATATCCCCACCCATATTCTTCCACCTCTACCCTTATCAAACATAGGTATCAAGCCCTAGCCTACTGTTGGACATGTTATGACATTGAACTGCAAGCATGTGTAAGACATATAATTACAAAATGTGGAGTCGAATGATATTCAATTGTCACATTATTTTCAACCGCAAAATTGAATGGCAAAGGGTGCAAACTTGACTCAAACAATTAGCCAAGTAAAGAACAGATTTCAAACCCCATCTTAGCACCGCTAATGCTAATTTCAGTGCATGTCATAGTTGGCATGTAATACCAAGGCAAATGCTTAGAAGAGCATTAACGATATAATCCAATTTAAACAACATTATACTTTGACTTAAAAAGTTATAATCAAGGTAAATGCTCAAAATACTCCTCTACACAGACATACATCAAAAAGGGGTGAAACGATTTTGCCAGATTGATATGAATTAATCAAAGGTTCTCCATCATTGCACCTATTTTCTATAATATTGACTTCACGTGAAGTTTCTAATTCTTTTTCCTTCTGATTTGCAGCAGCTAAATTTTCATTCTTCTACAACTTATAACAATCATTTCTTATGTTCCCGTCACTACCAATAATTGCATACTTTATTACTGTAATTAGACTTTAATCTGTGCCTCATATAATTACCATCAATAACAAGGTTATCTCTATAAACCTCAGATTCAACAAGATACTTTATCTTTTTCTTTGAGAATAGACACAATCTTAATCCACAAGGATTGATTTAATATGTGTTGTACACCACAATCCATAACATATTAGGAATATAACACAATGAAGAGTTTAATATAGGATGAAGTCTCAATACAATATGTAAAACTAATAAAGGGATATTTGGGATAAAATAGGAGTAAAACATTGCCAAAAATTCAAATAGAAACTAATTGCAACTTGGATTCCTTCAAGACCTCTTCAAGTTTACTATCAATTCCAAAATTGAATTCCAACTTAAATTTCCAAATAGACTTTAATTAAAATTTCCAATTGGATTTCAAATAAAATCCTCAAATAGACTTTCAAATAAAATTTGGATCACTCCCTAATTCTAACAAAAATGATAATAAATATTTTCTTTTTGTTTGATAAAAATCTTAACTTTAAAGCTAATTTTAAACGGGGTGGGTAGCACCATTATCACCTGGTAAATCCTTTAATAATTCTATTATCACCATTGTCCAACCATGAATCTGCTGTGATAATATATCATTTTAGGCTCTGATAGCACTTAATGTTAGCCGACCCTTAAACAAGTGAAGTAACTAAGATTAAAATACTCCAAACACAGTTGGAGCCAAGATTTCTGAAGGAAAAGTTGGAAAAAGCCTTAAGAGGGTTTTAGACAAACTTTCAATAATTGATGATAAAAATTGATTACAAAGCTGGATTCTTGACTCTATTTAAAGTAAAAATGACTTTTTGACCTCAGTAATGACTCTTAGAATACCTAAACTTCAAATAAATTAATCTTGGAAAACTAATAGACTTCTTCAACTACTCAACTTTTAAAATACAATTAATTGAAACAAGGACTTTGCATAAAACTAGACAATGACTCTTTGACACTTTGACTAAGACTAAAAGTAATTTGCATCAAATCATTTCCAAGTCTCCGAGAATTTTGCAATGATTGTTCCCACTTGGAAGGATTTCAAAAGTTCTATTTTGATCACCTTCAATTTGTTCACAAGCAATTGCAATTTATGTGCTTGGGAAGATAGGGTAACGCTATTAAGGAATTCAAAGTTGAAATACTTTGACATTAGGAATTTTATTGGGTCTTCCTCTACGGATTTGTATTTATATTACAATGCATTCTAAATCTCTTTCACCGAAGTGGGGTTGGTGTAGAAATCATATAATTTATCTGAAGAACATTGAGACGTGACCCAGACAAGTTAATTCATCTTCTTAATGCTTCGTCTGTTAGCCCTTACAACATCCGAGTCTCCACATGTTGATTTCGGTAGTGGTGCCAATCCGGATCAATAATGTAGAAGATCTTCGAAGCTGTTAGAAAGAACTTCAATTTGTCTTACCACACTAGGTGAAGTTCATTCCATAAAATCGATCCAACCTTATGAGGTTTTGATTCATGAGTTTGATCGTTGTCATGATAGTCTCATTCTACATGATTATCATTTGAGATTGTTGCATATTTTATTTATTTATTTATTTGGGAGTAGGAGTGGGAGAAGAGAACAAATGTAGTAGCAAGAACACTGAAAAATCGGAAACACGCACACACAGACTTAAGCACTTGTGTTTTTCTTCTAAAAACTTGAAAAAGACGGGAGTTTGAGTAATGGATTGGATAAAAACAGATTTCAATTGACGGTTTTATGTATTTATAATTGGATCATATCACCTATTTGTAGATTTCAATTCATAATCCACGAAATAGTGACATCTATTCATGAAAAGTTGAGAACCTTTCATGAAAAATCACCAAAAATCAAATTTGAAAATCAGCCTATCGGCTAATATTTTAGTGCCTGCGCACAGGCAAATATTGCTTTACATTCCAATTTCATTCATTTGGACCTCGTGGCTTCCCATGCCGAATTCCATCCATTTTAAGGCCCAATTCCTTTTATAATTGTGAACAAATTATAACACTAAAGTCACCAATTAAAAGAAAGTGTACAAATTTTTTACCATAAATCTTTTAAATTATAACACAACAATGGCAAAGGTCTTTACAGTAAAGACATTAATTTATTCAAACTAAAGGACACAAACATCACCGAAACTCTTCCAAATTAAAATATGAAACATTTTACCTTAGAAACACAATTAGATATTTTCCAGAATAAAAGACATTTTCCATGTTCAATACGAATGCACCCTTCTTGGAATTTCTGCAACATTATATTCTTGTGGGAAGATAACGAGAGTTTAAATCTTCATATAGAAATGCCCCTGTTCCTGCAAAATTAACAATATTGGAAATCAAAATTCACAAAATATATATAGAGAAATAATTTAATAAGAACCGATGCTCATCTTATCCTAATCATTAATATGATACGTTATCGATACTTAGGATAAGATGAACACTAGTGCTCATTATATATATATATAGACATTATTCCGTTTGACCCGTATCATTCAATTTCTAGGAGAATACAAAAAATATATACATTGAAGCTCCTAGAAGAAAATAACTTTTCTATTATTTGACACGTAATCCAGTGTATCAAGAAAATAGAAAACTATTTTGATTATACGATTCAAAAATAACTTTTCAGTATTGTATTTGAATATATGAGTACTAACAATCGCAAAGTGAAATATAAGTTCAATGTGTTTGTTTTGGACAATCTTCAGATATTGTTTTCTAGAAAGGGAGAGTGGAGAGAGATAAAGGGAGACCAGACAAATCAGCAAATTTGGTTATTTCCCTAAAAATGCAATACAAGATGAAAATTATAGTTTGAGAGAAACTACTGATGGTTAAGAAACTACCTGGTCCAGATTCTTTCAACCTAAATCCATCTTTGGATATATGCTCACTGACAATGTCAAATGTGATTCCACGAAATCGATTCCTTAATCCATCCGGTAGAATTCGCAATTTCTCGCAGTTTTTAACTGCTAAAATGGAAAGCACAGGCATGGATCCTTTCTCCACCTCCCACGTCTCTAAGAAACGCAAAGTCAAGAGCTCTAACCGTTTGAGTTTCTTGAAACCAGATTTAACGCATATCATTTTCTCTCCGGCAAATGCGTTGTCTTGCAATACTAGTACCTGCAATTCCGGGAGCTTGTCCAAAGTTGCCATAGGGTCTTCCTTAAGTTCAGAGCCTATCAAGACTATCCCAGTCAGGGTTGTAGTGATTTTATCGTGTAGTGGTATCTGTCCAAGATGCCCATCCATATGCAAGGTGTGGAGAGTCTTACACTCGAGTAGTTTTCTAAAAACAGAATGCCTTTCTTCTGTATAACAGTCAAAGTTTTTGACCTTAATGGAGACAGCTGTATTCTCTGAAGTCATGACCATGCGATGGACAATCTGCTCAAGATCCCCCAAAATCCCTTCAACAGTCGTAGACAGGTGTCGTAGCCTCTTCATTTTAAAAAGATCAGCAACATTGCACATCCCAGTGTCAAAGTTTTGAAGTAACTCAATTTCCTTCAAACTTTTCAAATACAGCTTACCGTTATTTTGCATCTTAAACTCGAGCGGAAGATATAGATAAACAAGTTTTCCCAGTTTCCTCAAGACATTGGGAATAATTATTTGACTTGAAACTCGTAGATCAAGAGTTTCCAAGAAAGACAAGCCACCTATTGATGACGGCAACACACCCAGAATACATCCTTTGAAACTCAAATACCTAAGGTAGATTGGCCATGTCATTCCCCTAGGTAGACCTCTCTCTTGAAAGTCAACTCGTTCAAAAGTTAGAACCCTCAGCATTCTGTACCTCTTAAACATTCTTCGAGGCCATTCCAACTTCACCTGAAGATCCTGCGAACTCAAGAGTAAGAGAGACCTAAGATGGTCAACCTTTTCATTTCTTAACTCATCAACAGAAGATCTATCTTCTTCCTTGCCTAAATGTAAAGCCATTCTACGTGCAGGATTTGTAGTCAATGGGAGGGAATTGGAACTTCTCTTAACTAGAACCATAAAGAAATATTCTTCTCCCTTCCGTGAGCAATGATCGTGCATATCCTCATGAACACTACAAGACCTATATTTTCTCAAAGATGGAGTTTCTTCTTTTTCGACCTCAACCATTTTTCTCTGTACCAGCTCGCTCAAATAGCTTTCTGCTAAATCCATCATCGTTCCATTTTCTTGACCATCATCTCGTGATATCATGCCTTCAGCCATCCATTGAAGACACAAGTGCTCCACTTCTATCTTCGAACCCTTTGGAAACAAACCCAAATAAAGAAAACATGGTTTCAAGTGATATGGTAAATCATCAAAAATTAAATCTGAGATCGATTTTTGCGATACGATTTGTTCAACTGGTTGGCCTCTATCGATTAATAACTTGACATCTCGAAGCACCGTCTCCCATTCCTGAGATGTACGCTTTTTAGCTAAAACTTCTCCGACTGCAACTATAGCTGATGGCAAGCCCATGCAATATTTCAATACTTGGCGCTTTATATTATTCAACGAATCAACTTCTGCATTTGCTATAAAAAAAAATTTGTTAAGCGGATCCTAAATATAATACAGTTAATTATGCAATAATGAGACGATTACAGCTCATTTCCATTATATTGCCTGCATTAGCTCTTAATATACGATAAAGACCAGCAATAAACAAAATTCGATCTTCAAGAGAAGCAATTGACTTTATGAAGAGGATAAAAATGATAAAGTGGATAGATCTTAATAATAATACGCTTGTTGTGCTACCAATATCAACATTACATATATTGACTTCAGTCCATTATTGAGCATCCCCGTTGCTTATTTGCTATCATATAGACAGTTTTGTTGTATCTTTATTTGTTTTGATTCTTTTTACACCTTACTTCAAAAAATTCTCTAAATGGCAGTATTAGACAAAATTTTCAATATATATGTAATAAATCAGACTAATAGGTTATTGCATCAATAAATAATTGCTCGCCAAAAACTGTTCTATAGGCAGCAAAAGGTCAAGGAAAATTATTAAATTATATTATCAAACATACAGAACACCAAAATAAGGGTTCTGAATAATTAAGAAGGTTTTGGGAAAAGTTACATTGGGAAATTAGGTTTTTGTGAACACTGTTTGGTACGCACAAGAGAGCGAAATTTTACGTTGTTCATTCTGCAAGACAGACATTTGACTATGTATGTACTGAGGCCCAGCAAAATTTTCTGCGAAAGTATGGATTTATTTGTTAAGTCGCAAGAATTTGGCTTTCAAAACTTCTAAGAGTGGAAAACTTTGATTAATAATCAAATTGGCAAGAAATTAAGAATTTAAAACTGACTATGGGCTAGCATATGTTATAAGGATATTTTATACACTAATTTGGACTAAAAATATAGATATTTAATAGTTCTTTGGATTAATTATGGCCTAATTATTGTATATTTTGTTACTAGGCGAAATTCGATTATTGGAAGCAAAATTGAAGAAAGAACCAAAAAATAGTGAAAAATGACTCAATCCAAAGTATAGGGACTAAATTGCACATTTTCAATAATTGATTCGGATTTAAGATCGCATTTGAAAAATGCATGGGTCTAGTTGGATGCAATTAGAAGTTAAAGGATCCAAATGCAAGAAGAATGGACTTAATATAAATCATTCAAACAAATAAGGTAATTCAATTAGAGTTAAAATTGATAGACACTAGGTTAAGTGTCTAGTCCTTGTGGGATGATACTTTACTCTTCAATTTATTACTTGTTCGCGATACCATATACTTGCAGAAAATCAAACGATCAACATCCAATTCGAACAATTTTACAAGGAAAAAGGGTTAGCAAGGGAAAAGACGATTGAAAAGCTCATCAACGAAATCATATGACCGAGAGAATGAATAGAACTATTTTGAGGAGTTACATACATGTCACCTAATGTAAAATTACCTACAAGGGCACATGTTAAATTCTCATCTACTGTACTTAAGAGGTGGAGTATTATATAAGTCATGTTCATTACATTAATGGCACATGAAGTTTGATGCATTCCATGGTTTTCTCAATGCCAGACAACAAATTTAAAAAGTTTGATTTAGGGTTAATCGTGGAAGAAGCCATTGGAACGCACGTAAACAAGTCTTTTGGTACTTGATGGAATACTGTACTGGGAAACGATGAAGACATAGCAAGTTCTGTAGATTCAGATTTTGCAAGTCATCTAGACAAAAGATGATATTGACATGAAATATTTTAAATCATGGGAACTTTGTAAGCTGGAAAACAAATCTTCAGTCTATAGTATAGGTGTTGATTTTTAGCATAATTAATTATATTATTTGCACTTATGTTATTTTATATTGCTAAAAGAATAATTGTAGTTTTACTTGTTTGGTCAGGATAGTTTAGTCATTTTGTTTGTTAGAATATGCAAACCTCATTTTGTACAATTTGCTTATTTGGTTGTATGATACCCTAGTCCACTTTGCTCTCTTGTCTTCCACCTTGCTTACATTAACAATATCCATATGGTATCAAAGCTTCAACTAAGGTAGATGACATCGGACTATCATGTATTAATGTCTGATATTCTTCTTGTTACTTTATTTCCGATTTTGATATTTTTTGGGCTTTTACTATTTGCTTGAGATATTATTGTGTTGGTTTTTGATTGAATTTTTATAATGGCTGGGACAAATCATAATTCACCTGGCTCCATTAATGTGAGATTAGATGAAAAAAATTATTCACATTGGAGGGTTATCATGAAGAACATTTTGAAGGGTAAATTAATTTGGGATTGTGTAATTGGTATTTAGACCAAACTTAAGGTCGATAAACTTGATTATGATAAGTTTGTAGAAATGCTTCGTACTTGTGACATGAACAAACATGCCAAAATTTACAAATTGGGTGCTCAATTCTACTGAACACTCTATTTGGGCACAACTGGAAAAATATGAAGCAACTAAGGAAATTTAGGATGGGCACAAATGGTTGTTTAGACAATCTAATTTTGCAATGGAATACCAATTGGAAGCTAGTATTCGGCACTAGAGCAAAAAATTTGAGTGCTCAAGAATTTCATTAAGCAATGGCTAACTTTTAGATCTTACATAGGATGATGAATTTCGAACTTATAAATTATACATTAAGCATAGAAAGCGACAACGTCTGGTTCAATTTTCGATGGCCCTTTGTGATTATTTTGAGGGACTCTGTTGGTCAACCTTATATTGTAATCCACTTCCTTTTGCCAATTTTGTTGTTACTGTACCTTAGGCAGAGAAAACACATTTGAATTCTCATGGCAGGAAAATTATCTACCCATATCTACTTCTTGTACCACTTTATCTAACCTCATTGAGCAGTTTCAAAAGTCACCACCAGACAACCTCATGCTATGTCATCATCTTCGGTATAGGTAGGTAGTCCCAGAATCATTTGGGTATTTCTTTTCGATACGAGTTTTAGATTCGTGTACTTCTCACATGTCATGTGACTTAACATTCTTTACTTCTTTGTGTCCCTCTAAATCATTTGTATCTGTCATAATTGCGATGGCACTTCTATATCCATGACGTGTGTTGGTTCTAGTAGTGCACATAATTTACATTTCAATATTTACTGTATACCTGCTCTTACTATGGATCTTGTCTTTATTGATCATTTATGTGACTCTATATACTAGGTTAAGTTTTCTTAAGCCTGTTTGTCATGTATAGAATCCTCAATTTCAAAAGCTCATTGGGATAGGGTGTAGGTCGAGATTATTATATGTTTTGGACAATTTAAGATAATCGAATGTTGCAACAACCGGTGTTGATTTGTCATCTTTTGCTTGATTCCCCCTTCCCCTAGATTTTATTTGTGATGAACTCATATTGGACATGTTTTCATTAGTGATTTGAGATATATAATTTCTAAAGGTGCTTTGAAATTGTACAGACTCAAGATATTTTTATTGTAGTAGTTGCAAACTAACAAAATACTCTACTTTACCTTTTAATCAAAGTATTTCTTCTTCTATTACACCATTTGATCCATTATATTTTAGTATGTGGGGACTTACTCCTATTACTAGAAAGGGATAGTCTAAATAAATCTTTTAGATTAAGTGGTAAAATTTAATACTCTATTGTAATTAAGTATTTTAGATGTGATTTATGTGGGAGTATATTTTTCTTGGATTCTCTAAATTACTTGTTCTTAGGGAACTATGCATCAAACCTCTTGTATTGATATCCCACAATAGAAGAGTGTTGTTGAAAGGAAACGCAGGCATATATATTTCATTTAATCAATAAAATTCCATCATCTGCCACTTTCATTTGCCACCCTTCAAAACATTGTTTGGACACCCTCATGATCATTATTTCTTCAAAGTTTTTAGTTGCATTTGTTTTGCTCATCATCCAAAAGCTCTAGTGTAGCAAGTTAATGTTACACTACGCCATTTTTGTATTTTTTGGTTTTAACGATGGACAAAAAGGTCATCGTTATTTCAATCATGCCAATGAAAAATTATACGTCTCTCGTTATTTTGTGTTTCTTGAAAATATTTTGTTCAATTCTATTTTTGATAATTCTTATAACATGAGTAACTCTAAACTCATTTCATTAACTCATTCTCTAAGACACTGATAGTCCATCCTCTATTTCACCATGTATTATCGATACTCATACGCTCAGGAACAAATTGACTTATAATATCTTAGATATTCCTTCTCCATCTATAGTCGTCCATACACCTCATATGATTGCAGATCCTCGTACTCCTCCTCTCTATCCTCAGAATGATTGAAAGTTCATTAAGTTATCATATTATAATTATTCTTGCTGTTCGAATTCTTTTTGTTGTTTGTAACCTTTATTCGCAAACTATTTGATCATTTTTCCTATAAAAAGTTTGTTCTTGATCTTCTTTGGTAACCGGATATGGCAGAGGGACTCTGTGCATTGCATAAAACTAATATTTGAGATTTGATTCCATTACCACCTAGTAAATGTTCTCTAGGTCTTCGTTGGGCCTATAAGATCAAAAAAAAAATCCGATGACATAGTTGAGCAATATGAAACCAATGTAGTTGCTAATCGATTCATTAAGTAGTATGGTATAGATTATGAGAAGACCTTTTCGTCCGTTGCAAAGATGATTACTATTAGTGCACTTATTGTTGACTCATGTGTTATCGGTATAGTATGTCTCAAATAGATGTTAAAATGTCTTGTTGAATGGGAATATTCAAGAAGACATTTATATGGTACCTCTCCTTGTGTTTCTCACAATCATGAAGACGTTTGCAAATTTTAGAAGACACTTTATGGTATCAAACACATACCTCTTGTCTAGTTTAAGAAGTTTTCTAATGTTATTGCTTCTCTTGGTTTTTCCTCGAATCATCATGATTCTATTCTATTTGTTTGGTACACCACAAGGGGTTACATTATCCTTTCATTGTATGTTGATGACATTATTATTAGTGTTGACGAGATTGTTGTCATGTAGATTGTTGTCATGTAATCAGAATTAACTTATCAATTTG